TATCTATCTATCTATCTATCTAGCTAGTTTTTGTTCCCATCTATATATGTTATATCCATTGTAATCACTGATATGATGATATCCATTACACGGGATTTTGTCTCCAATGCCTAAAGGCAAAATTTAAATCCATTGGAATAGTCGAGCATTAATATTTAAGGCAAAGTTTTAAAATAAAAGAAAATCTGATGCCCCATGTTTGTCTTACATCCGTGTTCAATAAAGCCGTATGCTACTAAAAATCTACATCTCTAATACGAGGAATGAAAACGTAATTCCTGGACTGACCGCTTCTTGTCGCTGGTGTAATGAGTTAGACAAGTTTTTCAATCCGTGGATGTTCGGACATGTCCAAAGTTCCAATCTCTTGAGACGCGGTGCAGATGAGTCTTTCGTTTGAATTTTCTAAAAGTGAAGAAATGCTCCAAAATCTCTAAAATTGGAGAAAATTTTAAAAATGACCAAGATCTGCTGACTGCTAACATCAAGTGACTACATTATTGAAAGGCATACAAGAAAACCAAGAATTAAAATTGTCACACCTTGTATCTATCTAGAAAAAAACAAGTTTGGCAAACTCCGGAATTAAAATCGCCACCTTGTATCGTTCAAAAACTTCGTTCAAAAAACACAGACAGAAAGAAGAGTCATAGCTGAATATTTTTGTTGTGGCAACACACTACAACTTCGTATAAAATTGGAAAAACTAACTCAGATTTTTACTTTAATTCCTATGCAAGTGAGACACATAAAATAAGAAAGGTATGACAGCCAAAGAAATCCATGAAAACATGGTACATGCACTTGCTGAGGATTCGCTGTCTTTTGCAACTGTGAAGAAGTGCGATTCGGAATCCAAGCGAGGCACGGCCAGCCCACAAGATGACCCTCGGCCTAGTCATCCCAAAACGTTTACGATGAAAAATTTGATGCCATTAAGCGTATGGTTTTGGACGACAGACGTCTTACTGTCCAGCAGATAGCTTAGTTTATGGGCATTAGTTTCGTACTGTTTTAATTGAAATGTTGGGGGATGAGCAAGTTGTTTGCAATAAAGGTGCCGAGAATACTGACACCAGAGAAGAATCTTCCTGAAAATTTCCACCGCAGATTAGTAACTCAAGATGAAACCTGGGTTTACTAATACTAACCCGAATCAAAGATTCATAGAATACATGATTTTCCAAGCGTAGCTCAGATGTGGCACAAAGCCGAAAGTATGGGGTACCCAGTGAGGATCGAACACTACTTAGTCGTAATAGTTCTAGCGAGACAAGCTTGCTAACCATTATACCACCTCGAGGTGCCCTAAGACTACCTGGAAAAGAGAGAAACTATTAATGAATAGTACTGTGCATTAGAATGAAAACAACTGCAGGAAGCATTCAAGTCGAAACACAGAGGGAAGTTGAGGATTGGTGTGCTCTTTTTCCAGGGTATCGTGTTCATTCACATTGCTCAGGTTGCAGAAGCTGAAGCAGCCAACTATGGTTTTCAATTGCTACCCCATCTCCCTTACTCACCAGAGTTAGCGCCATATGACTTCTTCCTGTTTACTAAACTCAAATGCCACTTGCACAGTCGCCATTTTGGAATCAATAATGAGATCATATGTGATGTGGTTTTGGAGGACCAGGATACCAGATTTTTCCGTGATGAGATTGCAATGCTTAAGCCTCATTGGACCAAGTATATTGATGTCAAGGAGGACTATATTGACACAACTGCTTATAGTTGAGGCTCAGAGCCTCGTAAATATGTTCATCTGTTTAATGAAAAAGTAACAAGGCTGTCTTTAGCTGCATCGAAAATCGACATTTGGTAGGATTTTTTAACACCAAAAATTGACATGTGTCGAAAATACATAGTCAGCCTCCATATTTACAAAGTATCAGTCACTAGTATTTCTCTCTCTCTCTCTCTCTATATATATATATATATATATATATATATATATATATATATATATATATATGTATATATATATATTATTCATATTTAGGCAGCAATTTTTCATTGATGCATGTTTCATTAAATGATATAGACAATCACAACTATACTTAAACATGAAAACAATAAACCAAAACTAAAAATTCTTGAAGCTATATACATAAAACAGTTGAAACCTAACCTAAACAAAATAAACTACGAAATCTCCACAAATATTCTTAAATGCCTATAATTGGTAACAGAAGCCCTTGTTTTATACCAACGGCTTCCCATACTTAATAATTTTGGGTGATCATGTGTGACGTCACGAGCTGCGACGCGATTTTCTCTTCCGTATACACTAGTTAGTCGTTGCTTTGAAATTTTTCATGCAACAAAACTATCATTATTGTTCTGTGTATTGGTTGATATATTGAAAAGTAATTGTCATTTTTGATAATGGCTTATGTAAGCCGAAAGCTTAGATTGCATTTAAACATGTATCAATATGGTGATTTCCTTTCGCCTTTAAATGATAATGTTATTAATCTTATCAGACAATATGAAAGGAACTTACTTAAAATAGACAAAACTTGTCTATATTATTTAATGAAATATGCATCAATATATATATATATATATATATATATATATATATATATATATATATATATATAATAATTGCACATATATTCACGTTTACCGGAAGTGTTTCATGGTTTTACCAATCAACAGGTACAAAATGTTATGAACTGTTCAATTGTTGTTTTAATTTCTGCATCTCATAACAGCAACCCTACATTGATGTGGATTCAAAGTTCAAAATAAATATAGTATTGAGGTAATAAATTCAAACTATAGATTGTTGGTGGGAGGATATATATATATATATATATATATATATATATATATATATATATATATATATATATATAAATTATTATGGTAGGTAGGCAAAACATCCTTACGGCAAGGGGGGAAGGCCCTCCTGGTAGTAAATGTGTTCCTGACTGTAACGGCATTATAACACCGTTTAATGGATAAAGAGATCTTATCGGCGTATGTCTGACATCAGGACCAATCCAGGGGACATTATAGGACATTTGAAGGCTCATATTTCTTAATTTCATTGAACTTCCTGATCTTGCGTTCAATGACAGTTTTAATAACTGATTCAGGGTAACTGTTCTTAAGAAACAATTCCTTAATTTTTCTCAATTCGGCCTCGAGTCTACACTCAGAACAAATCTTCAATGCCCTATATATATATATATATATATATATATATATATATATATATATATATATATGTAAATTTTATATATTTTTTGAATTTGTAGGTTTGATGAATTGGATCGTATTTACGATTCCAATGGAATAAATTATGACCATGGAATATTAGTATTTAAGCCTTTTTATTATATCCTTTACTCCCTTTGAGTTCTACCTGGATTCCTCCTCTTGGAATTATTTTTTATACAAATATATATGTATGTGTATGTATGTATGTATATATATATACTTATAAATTTTAGATATATGATTGCCTATGTATCTGTATATTTACCACTAATATTATCTATCTATTTATTAGGCTGTAAAGCTTATATTTTATATTATAAAGAAACAATTTATACAAAGAATAAAATAGCAATATTAATGTGTTTAATGGCGAAATCACTTCTCTAACAAGATTAACGAGACATTAACTTACTATTAATTCCTTGAATAATAAGATCCTTATATTCGAGTAGATCGCACGCTTCAAAACATATATTTAACTGTCAATAGCATAATTAAAAAAAAAAAATCTTTCGGTCTACACATATTTCGTCTTTATGTTTGCTTATGTATGGAAAAAATTGCGCCCTGAAGATGACAAGTTGAAACTGTGGAAAGTACTCGGCATGCGTTTTCCATCTGACATCTACTCGAATATAAGGATCTTATTATTTACGGAATTGATAGTAAATTAATGTTTCATTAAGTCTTGTTAGCGAAGTGATTTCGTCATTAGTCACGTTAACATTGCTATTTAATTATTTTTATAAATTCTTTATATATATATATATGTATGTATATATGTATGTATTGTCTGTACACATGATATGGTGATGGAATCGATTTTAGCATGACGTGATTAAAATGGCCTAACGGTTCAAGCATTTTAAAATGCTTTGAAGGCCCTTCGCATCAGAAGAGGTCAACTTACCAGCACAAACCCCCTCCCCCCAAAAAAACAAAAAACAAACTTCATAACGTTTCCTTTTATTTTGAAAATAGACCTGCATTCAATTTTTTTAAAAGCATATCACCCCAAGCAAGGAGGGAGTGCCACTAGCACGCAAGGCCTTACAGAGGGTGAGAGTATGACTAAAAAGGTGTGTTTGAAGAAAGGATAAAGACAAGGACGGGGATCAAGATCAAGGCACCAGAAGATGTCGATTGACATTACATTTGAAGATTATAGGGAAGCAAGTAAGAGGAAGGGAGTTACACTGTCGGGAAGTGTGAGAGAAGAAGCTATTGGAGTAGAAGAGACGGTTACATTTAACCGTTTCGACAGTGAAAGGGTGGGACCGAGATGCCAACCTAGTAGCACGCTTAAATTCGTGCAGTTGGGGTAACAGTGAAAGTAGCTCGTCCGAGCAGTTGCCATGAAAATATTTGTCGAAACGAGAGAGGAAAGCCAAAGCACGTCTGTGAGAAAGTGACTGTAGACGAGATGCCAGGATCTATCACATTGCATATCCGTCTCTGGATTTTGTCGAGGACCACAAGATGAACAGAAGTGCTGTGACAGAATCGAGTCCACAGCTTCATCAATTATCGGTAAAAGTGCATCTTTTAAAACAATATAGACAAAAGTAAGTAACGTTTAAAGCCTTCGATTTTTCTAATCAGTCTGCTATTTCCGTTCGATTTTCATTAATCACTGCATAATTTAATCAATAGTTAATTTCGCTATATTTAATTAACAATAACCGACATTTTTATTCTTTTATTATCAATGATTGAATCAGCTTAGAACAATCTTGGCCGATATATTACGCTATTAAAAAATCGTTATTATGGGAGCGCCAACCGTTTTTTATAGAATATTTTGAGGTGTAGATTATAAAGACTTCATTTGAGATTAATTAAAGGTAAATCTGGGTTACCTTAATAAAATCTATCTATCTATCTATCTATCTATCTATCTATCTATCTATCTCCTCTTAATTGCTGTTGTTCTCAGGTCCAGCAGGACCCGGGGTGGTAGCACCAGTTAAGGTCCCTGCTATGGGCAAATAATGAGCCCCCAGCAAACAAAAAGACTATGGATGTATAAAAGTACATTTTAATAGTACAAATACCAGCAATACATTTTCATATAAAAAGACCGACAATACATAACCAACTTTGCCTTTTATCTGTACTTGAAGCGATGAAATTGTGTCCAAATAATTTAGATTTCAACATTAGTGATTGATATGCCGCTAAACAAAATAAACCGAACCTATCTATCTATCTATCTATCTATCTATCTATCTATCTATCTATCTATCTTAGCAGCGCACCTAGCGTTTGTTCTTGGGGTGGTCGTAAATATTGTCGTCTCTCTAAATATCATTCAAAGACGACATTCTATCAGGTCATCCCATAATTGTCCAAATTTTGAATAAAAAAACAAGTGATCAAATGTTACATTTAATTACAGATTCAATCAACAATGTATTTTCCCTGATTATCTATGACTTCCTTCCATCTATTAACAAGCTTACTAATTCCATTACTGTAAAATTCTTTTGGCTTTTGATTTGAAGAACTCACAAATGTCAGTTTTAACCTCTTCCTGTGTTACAAAAGCTGTTTCCTCCAAATGATTCTGTAAGCTATGAAGCAAATGGTGGTCTGAAGGAGCAAGATCGGGAGAATAAGGTGGATGAGGAATTTTCTCCCAACCAAGTTCTTCGATCTTTTGTGACGTGATTCTTGCTGTGTGGGGTCGTGCATTGTCTTGATGAAACATCACCTCTTTTCGATTCACTAGAGCAGGTCTTTTTTTCCTCAAAGCTTGGTTCAAACGCTCTAATTGCTGACAGTATATTTGAGCATTAATTGTTGCATTAGATGGTAAGAATTCAAAGTGGATTATTCCTTGGCGATCCCACCAGATTGAAAGAAGAACCTTTTGCCCATGAAGTTCCCTTCTCGGCTGTGGCTGGTGTCCTTCCCCTTTACCAAGCCGCTGTCTACGATGCTTAACATTTCGATAAAAGATCCATTTTTCGTCGCCAGTCACAAGTCTATCCAAAAAAGGTGAAACAAGTTGACGAGAATGGAGAGAAGAGCAGATGTCAACTCGAGATTTGAGGTTGTTTTCAGACAATTCATGAGGCACCCATTTTCCAAGTTTAGGAACTTTTCCAAGTTGTTGAAGATGACTATGAACAGTTGTATGGTTTAAACTGAGAACCACTACCAATTCCTCAAATAATAAAGCAGGATTTTCTTCAAAGGCTGCTTCAAGAAGCTTTTCATCAAACTCAACTGGACATCCGGTTCAATCTTCAAGGGTGAAATCTCCACCTCTGAATTTTGCAAACCATCTTCTGCAAGTTCTTTCATTCACACATTCCTCTCCATAAACTGAGGGAATGTTTCTAGCCGCTTCGGCTGTTGAGTTTCCTTTATTGAACTCATAAAGCATTATGTGCCTTAAATGATTCTTGGGTACTTCCATGTTAGCAGGGTTTTAATCAAACAAAATTTAATTTTATTGTTCTCTGAAATAAAATTTGATCAGTTTAAATGCATCTAAACATAAAAATAATGATCAGCTCCATTAGAAATTGTAAAATATAAGACATTGTAAAATATAATAAAATTATATTTACGGATATTTATTTTCTTTTGATTACAGAAAAGACGTAGCCACAATGAAACAAGGTGGAATGTCACATTTTAAAATAATATACTCTAGGGAAATGTTCCGTAAGAATAAATGGTTCATCTTAACATTTCAAGTGGCTGTCTCGTGAATTACTTAACCGTAAGGTGAATGAGTAATAAATGGCACCTTTTATACTAAATAAATAAAAGTGACTATGTAGATACAGAGAGTTGTAGAAACATCTTACAAGAAAAGAAACCAAATGTCACTGAACGCATAAAATACGTTTGATTAAGGCTTTGAAAAATTGAAATAATTATTTATAATTTAAGAACGGCCTTCTGATTTGAATTTCTTTTCACCTAAAAGATTTACCATGGATCAGTCGGATATCCAATTCGACAGGTAAACACAACATTAGTTTTAACATGCGGGCACGTGCCTCGGGAAAGTTCACTTTTTAACCATGAGACCCCGGTTCGGATCTCACCACGTTCGAATTGACTTCTTGATGTCTGGAGGAGGCGGTCCCAGCGTGACTGAAAACCATACCACGGGTTGACCTAAGCTTGTGATTGAAATTGGGCAGAGGGAACCCTAGGCGGTTAGTAAGAATAATCTTCTTCGTCACCGAGGCCCGTGGTACAGTCGGTATGACGTTTGGGTTGCATTGAAACGGTCAGGGTTCGAGTCTCGTTAGTGGATGCGCACTGCTAATGAGTCCCAGATAGGACGAAATGGCCGTCTAGTGCTTTCTGCATTCTGTTGAAGATTATTCTAGGCTCGACGAATTACTATATGATTAGCCTAAATCCCCAAAATAATTTCTTATATATATATGTGTGTATTTGTGATGTCAACAAACACTCGACACTTTTGTGATGTCAACGAATATTCGTTGTCACTTTCGTAATGCTCGTTGTAGTAGAGACTTTGTAATCGCAGATACAACTATAGTAACGCTGGTGAACAATTCTGGTGTCAGACGCCCTCGAATAACACTCGCACTAATAGTACTTGCTTGATAATATCCCTCGAAAAAGTAACTGCCGAATAGGGATCTGTATAGATAAATAGTATAGTGACTAGTATAGAGAAAGAGGATAGTGTAGAAATAGTGATAAGTAGAGTAATAGAAGATAGAATAGAAATGATGATCTGTGTTCAAACTCCAGAGTTAGTTAGAAGGATTGGATCAATTTATATTGTTTTCAAGCCATTTCCAAAGATGCCACACGCTGGGATCGCCTCCTCCAGACCTATAACATCAAGGTCACCTTCCTGAAAAATCGACCATGGTGAGATTCGAACCTGGATCTCATGGTGAGAAAGCGAACGTTCTATTCACTCGGCCACATTGTGTACCTACTTACGCTGTTAGAAACGTTTCCACCACTGCTAAGGAGTAACTTTTACTGACATTTTTAAAATATAGAAATCTCGTTTCAAAAATTTATTTATTTATTTTAAAATATTATCTTGATTCTATATTGATAGAAAAAATTGTGTCTGCGTTGTACAATGGAAGAAAATAAAGCCATTGGCGAAAATTCTTTGTCAGAGTTGAAAAATGATTGCCACAAAAAAAGAAGAAAGGAAAAACCGGAAGCTGGAAAAATGCGCTTTCACAAAATTGCAACATTCTGCGCAGTGACAACCTTGCAAAATGCGAAATTTTAAAATGGGTTGAACGGAAAGGAAAAGAAAAGAGGAAGAAGTAAAAAAAATCATGAACTTTATGAAATTTTCATCGAGCCTCGGAAATATCCATGGCTTCAGGGTAAATCATTTGATAAAAGCTTTGCCACTGATACTGTCGGTGTTTAAGCAACCATACTTGAATGATTTATAATTTAATCTGATGGATTTATTATATTCTCCCGTCGAGAACAACGGATGAAGGATTTAGTAAAGATACAAATACACACACACACATATTATATATATATATATATATATATATATATATATATATATATATATATATGAACATTTCTCATAGTTAACCTGCAGAAAAGACAATATTTCTAAATATAAATGACAATAGGAAAACTTTAATAGTTGCCGACGCGTTTCGTCCAATGTGGACTTTCTCAAGGCAAAAAACGAAATGAATTTATTTCAACAAAGTAACTAATAATAACAAAAACAAAATGTCCTTATCAACTGAAAGAATTTAGAGAACGCTATTTTAAAATGCGTTTTTTTTTTTTTTTTTAAATTCTACTTATTTCTCCAATATATTCTGATGAACACTTTTGGCAATTTATTTTATAAATGACTGCTTCAGAAATATTATTGCTATTATTAGTGTTTGAGGATCTGAGTATATCCATAATGGTTTTGGAAGTGTTTGTGACTATTTTGAGATTATTTTGATGGGATAGGTTGTTCTGGATAGCAATGATATCAATAATATTTCTGAAGCAGAAATAAAAAATAAAATAAATTGCCAAAACTCTTCCTCCCAATATATTGGAGAAACAAGTAGAAATTTAAAAACAAAAACAAAAACAAAAAAACAAAACAAAAAAGAAACGCATTTATGAGCACAAAAAAACAACTTAGCTAATGCACTCGTCATACATAGAAATAAATTCAACCTCAATTTTGATTTTAAAATTCTACACTCATAAAAAAAGAAAATAATTTACTCAGAAGGAATATCCTAGAGAGTGCGGCCATTGAATATTACCCAAATATTAATCTACGCCCAGGCTTTTTCCCTATTTCACCTTTCTTAACAGAATTACTACTCCCCCAAGCAAAATGTACACAACAATATCAAGAAATCAAAAGAAAATGGTTGAATCCGTCAATACAGCAATAAAAACAATATCTCCACACGTGACAGTAAATGACGTAATTTTCAGTTCACAGTATGAAAATAGCATTTTCTAAATTCTTCCTGTTGCTAAGGACATTTTGCTTTTGTTATTATTAGTTACTTAGTTTAAAGAAATTCATTCCGTTTTTTGCCTTTAGAAACGCATCAGCAACTACTACAGTTTTCCTATTTTCATTTATATATATATATATATATATATATATATAAAAGAGAGGGGGAGATATCTGTGTGTATAAAACATCATAATTTCCTTTATATAACACGCACTGACACGAAACATACTATTTTATATAGGACGCACTGGCCTTAAATATCCTATATCTGTTTATATGACACACACCTGCCTAAAACAACCCATTTACGTTCATAGAAGCCGCATCGACCAAAAACACCCTGTTTCCCTTAATATATACGCAATGGCCAAAACACCCTATATCCTCTTATATAATACGCACCAACCTAAAATATCCTGTTTCCCTTTATATAATATACACCGACCTAAAATATTCTGTTTCTCTTTATATAATGCGTACTAACGTAAAACACCCTATTTCCCTTTATATAATACGCAGTAACATAAACACCCTATTTCCCTTTATATAATACGCATTACCCTAAAATATCATATTTCCCTTTATAAAAGACGCACTAACCTAAAACATCCTATTTCCTTTTATATAATACGCACTAACCTAAAACATCCTATTTCCCTTTATATAATACGCACTGACAAAGGAGATCCTATTTCCCTTTATATAATACGCACCGATTTAAAAACAGCCTATTTTCCGTTATATAATACACAGCAACCTAAAACATCCTGTTTCCCTTTATATAATACGCACTAACCAAAAACACCATATTTTCCTTTATATAATACGCACTAACCTAACACACCTTGTTTCCCTTTATATAATACGCACCGATTTAAAACATCCTATTTCTTTTTTTATAAAGCGCACTGACCTAATATCGTTATTAATAACTTGGCAAAGAAGTTTTAGAAAAAATATTGAACTGAGGAGTTATCAATACTTGTATACGATTTTAAAATAATACTTTAATATTGTTTTCATTTGAAATCATCTTTTAATCATTTATCCTATTTCATCTGAATTTTCCCACTGGTCGAATATTTCAAATTGATTTTAGTATCAGTCACTGGTGATTTGGAAGGATTTTCTGAGAAATAATGAATTTATGTTGGGGAAAAATAGTATCTAGATCAATATGATTAAAAGCATTTTGCGCAACAAATATTTATTTTTCGACATACTTTCTTTCCTTGTATTCTATGTCGAATATCAAATTACATCCATCGAGCATTTAAGTTAACCTACAGTAAACATTTTCAAATAAAAATTAACCATTAACTACGTGTTGAGTGATAGACTTAATGATTCACTCACGTCAGGGTGATCACTGTTTGGAAATTCCCGTTTTGTATCTGCACTGACACACAAAATTATTGGATACAGGACTTTTTAAGAAAATAGCCACTTTAATTATTAATGTTGCATTAGACTAGAACTGAATATAATAAATTCTTAAGATATACGATACATCATCCACATCAACGTCAGTCTCATCATTGGTCGTAGGGTTACTGCGTAGCTTAACACCTGACAAGTTTCCTCCGCATATCTGCGTTGAAAGCCAGGCAAGTATTCATTCATTACTTGAGAAAGTAAACTTCGTGTAGCCCATCTCACCTCAAGTCGAATTACGGTCTATGATCTCAAGTAGTACTGAATTACCTTTTAACGATAGGACTAGTAGAGTGACCTGACAATACTAAATAGAAGAACAAATAAAGACATTTTTGTATATCCATCACATCATGTTTCAGATGAATAAATGCAGACGAGCACAGGAGATGACCTATCTTTTTGACAAGAGTGTAAATCGTTTTTTTTACAATAGCGAAAACTAAGCAATATCCTCAAGAATTTTATGAGATGATAATTCTTTGATTTAAATTCACAGACAATTCTTTCGACTTCGCCATATTGGGATTGTTGATGCTCAAAAGAAAGTGAACATTATAGATGTTCATTACGGTAAAGTACGGTAATTTGCTAAGTTAAAGTCTAAATCTCTGATTCCGATACGAACACAGTCCAATTTTCCATGGTTGAATGAAGCCAACACACTTCGCGCTGGTTGACATAAGTTTATACCCACATGAGGCAATTTTGGATTTTTTTGCTATATATATATATATATATATATATATATATATATATATATATATATATATAATCTACACACGCATACATATACACACACACATATATATATATATGTAGATGTATACATACATAATATGTAGGTAGCTCCACTAATTCGCGGTACATTTAAAATGAATTAAAAAAATTGAAAAAGCTTTCATTTTAACTTCAATTGAAAGCTAATGGATTAACTTTAGTATCTCCAGTAAACAAAATAGTCTGGGTGATATCAAACATTATATTAATTGAGATCATTTTTTCTAAAATAGCTGATTAGCTCTTTTAAAGTAGTCTTTCGTCGCAATGTAATTGTCTGTATTAAAAATCCACCAAAAATATAATATACTTTTATGAAACTTTATTTGAGGAATATTAGCTAATTTAAAATATAATTAATCTAATTTGAAATAAACATTATTTACTTTAAGTTTAAATGTATATTTAAAACAAGCAGTAGCTTTTAACAGACAGTCACCATGTTTTAAGTGATGGTCAAGGCGATAATAATTGAAGAAAATGACGTGAGGGCCTTTTTTTATATAATTGTTAAGTACTCAGTAATCTTAAAAATGTCGGAAAATATTCTCCGTAAACTAATTCATGTTCTATTGCACAACATTTAAGGGAACATTCCTATCCACATTCAGATTTAGAGAAATATTAATTGAAAATACAAGTATACTCCACAATGAAAATAAAAACAAAAACTTCAAATTCTTGAAACCCTCTATATTACAAAAATACAACCAACACTAAAAAAGGTTTATGATGAGTATAGTAACAATTTAAAAAAAAAAGTGTCTATAGCAACAAAGTTTTAAAATACTTAAAATTACAATTGTATAAGCTAAAGTTGTCTCCCTTAGATAAACATAATAGCTTTAATGGTTAATTTTTAAATTGATTATAATGGAGCGTGTTCATACGTGTTTGTAATTATAACAGAGTGCGTTTTATGCGCGTTTACAAGAAAAAATCACAACTATCAATTACATTAATTTTTCTATTTGCAATTCACCGCTGAAGATGAATCTTGGATGTGATTGAAAGTATTTGAGAAAATAAAAGAAAAGAAAAAAAAGAAAAACTACGGCGGCTTCCAAAATTAAGTAGTTGATCCGAGAATTTGAGAGGATTAAAACAAAAATAGACATAATATTTTCAGACTATTCAACCAAACATGCTTTAAAAAAGATATGCTGCGTACACACATATGCACACACACACACATACATACATACACACATACACACACACACACACACATATATATATATGGACTAAATAAGTAGTGGATTTTCTGTTTAAGAGTTAAAACGTCACTTTTAGTGAATACTCATGTTTGAATAGACGTTCTGTTTAATTATTAAACAGTATGTTTATTTAATTTCGTCTACTGTCCTGAATATTTGTTAAATCTTATTTGGAGAGTGCATATTTTCTTTAATATGTTTTCTCGAATATTCCGGCCGGTATACGAAAATAAATAAATATTCTACTTATTAAATAAACGGAACGTCTACTCAAATATGAGTATCCATTAAAAGTAACGTTTAAAATTATATATATATATATATATATATATATGTGTGTGTGTGTGTGTGTGTGTGTGTGTGTGTGGAATGAATAAGAGAAAGAGCATCAACTTGTAATAACACATCAAAATAAGTAACCGTTACTGAGATGAGAAAACTGTAATTACCTTCCCGGAAGAAAGAAAAAGTTCCAAACATTCAGATTTCCATTCGCCAGCACGAAATCAAATTCCTACTACGCTACTCGATTCGCATCTAAGCTCTTCTGTTTGACGCACTCCTCTGATTCCCTATCTGAAATGAATATTATTAATTTTATGATTTAACTTTTTTATAACGAGCCAAAATAATATTTAAATATTAAAAAAGACGCTATATAATTCTGGATATATCAGCGGTCGAATATTATTGAATTTTTCCATCATTATCACCTGCGAAAATGATAAGGGTACCTTATACGCGGGTGCGTGTTGTTTAATTGAAAATACGGCATATTCAGAAAATACATTTGTAAATGCTGTTCGTATGCAAAACATTCAGTGACATTTCTGGAGAACAAAACCAGCGATAGAGAGGTCAATACACATTGAAACCAAATAAATTTACTTTCTAATGACCAAGATGATATAGGTGCTGATGAATTATATAGCAAACTACAACGTTACTAGGATGTATAATTGAATATCATTCAAAGATGTACGTTTCTTCTGAAGTTTGATAATTTGTTAATAAATCCTATTTTGATATTTAGTAAGCTTAAGTAGGGCCAGTACAAATCTGTTGTCGGCGGGAAATAACTGATCCAACATGCAGGCAAGAGATATTAGTAATATAGTGTAGGACTAGTTAGTCTTGGTATTTACTAAGATTGGTTTAGTCAGATTTAATGGTACAGGATCAAGAGAAGGAATTAATATCATAAGAAGATTATTTTGCGATAATCTTTTAAGTGGAAATGAATGGGCAGCTAGCCTTGAAAATCAGCATTCTAAAGCCGGGTTTTTACTTGGAAAAATATGCAACTCCCACATAGACAAAATGCGCGCCCTCACTCACAGAAAACTGTTAGAAAACCGATCAGTGAATCTTTATATTGAGATTTTCTTTTAGCTGGAAACATAAGAATCCGAATGAAGAAGTCCATGGGAATATACCAAAAATTAGGAAAAAGTGAAGAAACCTGAGATCGTAAAAGGAGGAATATAGGTCTGGGATACCGAGACCAATTGTTTTAACAATAAACATGCATCTTCGGCGCCCACACTGCTCACAAAAGGTAACGGCAAAATCTGTACCATATTTGGTTCGATGGTGTTGTTTAAATTCCTCGAAATTTTGTATAGAACCTTGAATACCAAACTCAGAAAATAGAAATCATATCGTCGTGAAGCAATGGTTAACATAATAATATCTTAACGAAGTGTCCTTCACAGTGGTGCCTTTGTATACAACCCGGATAAGGTTAGAAAATGCATGTCATCTTGCAGTTGAACAATGGTTAACATGATTTGTTTTTTACGGTTTATCAACTTTTAGTAATTTTTTTTTTAAATCAGAAAATATTTTTAAACTTTAAAAATGTTTTGAGGATAATAATGATTTAGTGATACAAGTCCTACTGATTAATCCATAACTGGGGGGTTAAGAAGTGAATTCATATCTTTTCAAAGAGTATTTGCGCGTAAGTAAATATAACGAACTTGACGGGAATTGGAACTGCGCTCTCCAATTTTGAGCCATTACCAATTTCATCATTTGCACATACAAGCTTACAGTATTCCCAAGCAGTCACCCATCTAGGTAGTGACCAGGCTCAACGTTGCTTAACTTCGGTGATCGTTTGGGAATCGGTGTTTTAACGTAATAAGGCTGTAAACCGAGTAGATGATAGTTCAAGTACAATTACGTTTGATCTTAACGAAGTGAACTACACAGAGGTGGCCTTGTACCCGACACAGATAAGTTTAGAAAATATATCACGCCTTGCCGTTGAGCAATGTTTAGCATAATAGTTTGAGTAATATTATATTTCCGATCTTAACGAAATGTACTACTCAGTGGTGGCCTTGTACCCGACACAGATAAGTTTAGAAAATACATCACGCCTTGCCGTTGAGCAATGGTTAGCATGATAATTTGAGTAATATGTACGTTCTTAACAAAGTGAACTATACAGTGGTGGCCTTGTACCCGACACAGATAAGCTTAGTAAATATTTGCAAGTCTTGATGTAAAATATAATAGGCCATGCTTGTCGATGAATTATTCATGTGTATTGTTGTTCTTCTCGAAATGACGTACACTTTCATTATAATTGGCTGCTACACCGCCATGGCCTTTTGTCAGACTAATTCAATTTTAGTAAATAGTCACTTTTTGTCACCTTTTCCATTTAAATTATTTCTTTTTTTTAATGATAAAGAACTCCATCTTCTTTTAATTTTGAACTATGTCCTCATTCAAATCATTTTTTTTCCAAATATAATTTTGATTCATAATTGCCAGAAGCTTAGTTTAAAATTTTCATTTACTAATGATGTTTTCTGATATTTTTCCTTCCTTTTTTTTCATTTCATTTTTTTTTTCTTCTTTTCTTTCCCCCATCTACTGGGTTTCGTTCCTTCTTCAGGATTCGTTACTCGTTTTTCGACAACAACGCTCAATTCAAACGTTTGACAATTTAATACCTCTTCCTGTGTCTTTCATCTTTTGCTTGACGTGACAAGAAAAAGGTTGCTGGCATTTTGACAGCAAAAAGGACGCAAAACGTTTTCACAACTTCTCTTCTTCCTTACCCACCACGACGGCAATAGGTTAGCTCAAAGCGAAAAAAAAAAAAGAGAATAAAAAAAAAACGAACAAATAAAAAAATAACAACAACAAAATCCTGAAAACACACATCCATCAGCAGGCGGGAGTGTGATTATTTTTTTCTGTACCGATTGATGTAGTCGTAGTAGTAAGAAACAGTTAAAACGAATGTTACTAGTAAAGATCCAATGGTAAGTACAAAGCACATACATTTAGCTACCAGAGAAGTGTCATGACAGACGACTAAAAATATGATACAGAAATCCGAATGGGCATTTAAACAGAGAAAGTTGCCTTCCAAAAGTTAAACAAAGTATTTTTCGAGGCAGAGAGTTACATATAAAGAGGTACATTTCATAGGGATACGAAATTACAAGCAATATATTGCTTGAAAAAGAAAAATATTTCCAGCAATACATTTTTGAAAAAGGAAAATATTTCCAGCAATACATTTTTGAAAAAGAAAAATATTTCCAGCAATACATTTTTGAAAAAAAAATTATTGCCAGAAATACATTATTACCAGTAGCATATTTTTAAAAAAAATTATCAGCAATACATTATTATCACCAGCAATAAAAAATTTGTCGGCATTAAATAACCTCTTCAATGGGTTATTTAATGGTTTTGATATGCCATAAACCTAACTTAACCTAACCTGCACCTTTCGCTTTGTCATGTGAGTTTTAAAATTCTCCCAAGCCTTTAAGAAATTTGGGAATAGAGACTTCTGACAGTAATGTTATAGCGATGCAATACATCATTAGATGAAGCCACGGCTCGACACTCTAGCAGGATTTTGCACCTCATAATTTGAAATGTTAGGTGCTAACGATTAAGTTATATCCACAATTTGAGCATTTTATGGTTTTATTGTTGAACTCTGGCTTCTTAGTTAATGGCGATAACGATGAACTGATTGGTTATCTCGGTCACGTGTACATAACGATATGAGGTGTACTCTTCTGATGTCGACTGACACTCTTCATCCATATATTACTTCCGATAATTACATGAGAAACGCCACCGTTTCATCTGAACATTTGATTGGCGTTACATAAGGATGTGTATAAATTTGAAACGCTCGAGGCCATCTCGTCAATTCTGGCCAGTCGTTTCCGAATATGACTAAGGACTGGTAGCTAATAGCATCGGAGATGACTGGATAGTTTATCGCAGACCAATAATGAGGTTCTTTTAAAGAGGAAATAGCATTTGTTTCTTCCCCACAAACGCTGAACTAAGCAGCTGAATTTTAGAAATATGCATTAAATCAATAATGCCTTGAAGTCTACACTTTAAGAAAATTGTTTGCTAATTATTTTCATGCAAAAGAAAGAATTTTAAATTTAATTTAGGATAAGTAAAGTTATATTTTAATAATTAAATCGTAGGATCTTTTCTGTTAAATCAAATCAAAATATTAATTCACTACAAAATAAAAGGAATTTATATTTACTAAAATTCACACCAAATTCTTCCAGAGCGAAGCCCTTCCATTTCATTCCGTTTGGGGTGACCTTTACGATCGCCCCAAATGTGGGCGATTCAGTTGCCCTATAAGGGTGGGGTAAACAAGCCAAAATCAAACATTTTTCTTTTTTTTAATTGTTAACCCCCCCCAAAAAAAAACAAAAAAAAAACTAAACCTTCAGTAGTCTAGTATTTACTAAAATTCACACCAAAAGTGTGGGGTCTACGTTCGCGCTCGCCCGGATAATCAAGTCAAAAACAGATTTAAATTTTTTTTTCTTTTAAATGTAAAAGATTCCTTGTAAGTACCTCGAATATGATCCGCACTTACGAAATGTGAATAACTGCCTGATTTTTTCTAATCTTTCATTCTGAGAGTTGAAGATTTTGTGAGGCAAGCTAAAGAAATTTTGATTTAAAATTTATAATTTCAAAAGAGTGCCAAAAATTTAATAAAAAAAAAACAAAAAAACTTTTATTTGAAATTTATAATTTTTTTTGTGCTGAATTAATATTTGTCATAAGTAGCTTTACATTACTCGAGGTGACTTAACAGAAATGATCCGTTCCTGCTAATAACCTATCTTTTATTTTATTTTTTTCCCTTGTTACAGATAACAGCTGAATGGCAGTCTGATAAAATGTCTTCTGACATGAAAGTGCGTACAAAATATTAAATTCCTCATTCCGAAAGAAACTGGCACTGGCACCGAAGCTTTTTATAATTGAATTGTTTGTATTTCTAACAGGAAAGGCAGAATATCGAAACTGAAGATTTAGCTCTTTGAATTAAAGTTATCTAAACTATTCATACAAATATAATGAAACCCTGTACGGGATATTGGCTACAGTTATGTGAGTGACGCAGTTAAAAAGTACAGGGGCTTAAATGGAAACATTTCAAAATACTATATCCTTTCAGACAGGAATTGACAATGGTTCAATTATTTAATATTTTTAGATTGTCATGGCTTCTTGGCTAAGATGCAGGGGGTGGATTTCCATTGTCTTTACCAAGATTTTAATTTGAATCTATCCTTGATTGACTGATACACTTTTTACGGCTCATCAACCTTTTGCAGTTTATTTAAAGCGAGAAAACATTTTTAGAATGTAAAAAATTTCTTTTGAAGATACTAATTTTATAGTGATATAAATCTTACCTACTAACCCATAGCTGGGGGAAAAAGTGCATTCATACCATTTCTAAGTGTATTTGCACATGTGAATATAACAAACCCAACTGAAATTAAATCTCAGTCCACCAATTAACAGTTCTGAGCCTTTATCCATGACACCCTTGCCACATCCAAGTTTGCAGCAGCTGGTATTCCCGAGCGGTCACCCATTTAGGTACTGACCAGGCTTGTCGTTGCTTAACTTCAGTGACACTACGGGAACCGGTGTTTCAGCGTGATATGACCGTAAAAAAAGACTTTTCCAGTAGTGGCTGCCACTCAAGAACACACAGCTGTTAAACTCACATTTGGGGCGGAGCCAGGCAAATACAATCATACCTTCACCGAGTGCATTAGTGCGATAGTGAATACCGCAGCCAGGAATTTGAATTTGGAACACAGATTGCCTTCTACGCGCCGATAACTTTTACGCTACCAATTCCTTACATATCTCAAGAAATTTGGCCTAGAAGTGTAAAAAAAAAAAAATCCTGGTGTGTCCTCATCTCCAGAATAAACACAGATGAAAATGTGTCTCCATATTTCTAACACTCTCCATAACGTTTTCTCAACACCTTGAAATCCTCAGATGACGGTGGGGTACCATCTACCTGATACACAAAGGTCGTTACAGCCCAACACAAGCTCTTCTCGATTAGAATCAGACTGAGGACAGAAATACAAAATCAAAGCAAAAACAAAACGTCATCGGTAAAGGTCTTTATCAACACTTCCCTCGGTAGTTTTTTTTTTGGGGGGGGAGATTATTATCAACAAGTCAATGGTGAAAAAAACGTTCTTTGAATTAAAGATAACAGTTAACAAATTTATAAACACTTCTTCCAACTTCTTTCGAATGTAAAACCTGCTACAGACTTGGCTTTTTACGTCCGCATTTTGTTACACAAATTATTTTTTATACACACGAGGTCCGATCAAAAAGTACCAGGAGTGTTGTTATGTTAACAGCTAAAGTACGCAGAGTGAAACCGCTTGAAAATTATAGTGCAGGTACACATTTATAACGTTCTTGCTTGTTTCCGTTGTTTATAGCAGTGCTTGGAAGGAAAGTGTGTAGAGTGTGGTCGTCTCACCACACTATAGAGGATCCTTCAGTGGCCATGGCATATGCAGCAGTTTTGGTTAAGTACAACATTCACCAGATCCGACAATCACCATATTCTTCAGATTTCACTCCATGCGTTCTAAAAATTAAATCCTACTTTAAAGGAACATGATTTCAAGACTTCGAAGCAATCCAAGAGAACGCGAGGAGGCAGTTGTTCGCTGTCTCCCAAGAAGGAGTTCCAGGAAGGCTTACATCAATGGAAACGACTCTGAATAAAGTGTATGTCTTCAGAAGGCGACTACTTTGAAGGAGATTAAATGTCGAATTAATATGTATTGTAGTTGTCTTTTGAAAGCAATAGTACTTTTTAAAGCAATAGTACTTTTTGCTCAGATCTCGTACACGTTGAAAAATCAATTAACAGTCGATATCTACTGATTAGAAATTGTTGAATTACATAGAATTTGCTTTTTTTAAAATTATTTATTTCCAAAGACTCTTAGTGTTTCTCAACCTTTTTAAGCAACGGCACACCTAGGAGAAAATGAAAATATCACGGCACACATTTTTAAAGGGTGTACATTTAAATGTTATGAAATAAAACCATAAATTTTGAATTGAACAAAGAATGTTGAATACAATTATATGAAAAAAAGGTTAATATTCATTCATTCAAATAAGGTAAACACTTAAAACGTTAAATTAAAAAAATTAATTTTTGTGTTGCTATTCATTGCTTTTCTCTAGTTCTGGTAAAAAATAATGCAATAATAATAACGGAAAAATTGCAATATGAGCATTGGTAAAAAAAATATGTAATAACAATAACGGAAAAATTGCAATATGAGCATTGGTAAAAAAAAATATGTAATAATAATAACGGAAAAATTGCAATATGAGCATTGGTAAAAAAAGATTGCTGAGACATTAGGTTTGAGAGTTGAGGTAAAGGGAAGTAACTGAGACATCCGGAAGAGACATAGCACGTGGAACTAGAACAATCTACCCCGGGTGGACGAAATAAAATGTTCGGTTCGAAATTCCAAATTATTTGAAGAAGGTCGGAGCATACAACAGCCGAAACGTTGTGCATATGGCAATGAAGATTGTAGTGCAGGTACACAGTTATCACGTTTTCACGCGTTTAAGAGGTTATCACATTAGTGTGTCGCGGCACGGCAATTGAGAATCACTGCTCTGAAAGATAAAGCTCAAAGCTGAGCATATGTGTAAATAAATATATAATATAAAGTTGGCTGTTTGTCCTGTGTGTACAAATATTGGTTAATTTGCAGTTTAAGCCCCATACACCAATTGTAATTAAAATTTTCCGAAAATTTCCATTTCGGTGTCAATTTACATGCTTATTTCGAAAATAACAGTAAAAGTTTGCGGAAATCTACCGCTTTGGAGTTATCGACAATAAAAGTTCGGACTCATTCGCGTCGCGGCTGCAGCACGGTTGCCATTACTAGTGTTGTTTACGTACGTTTGCCTCAACTAATCATGCGAGGAAGCTTCACTTGTCTTGATTATTGCGCTTTCAATGCGCAAACGTTGCGTGAAATTTAAAATGAGCATGATTATAAAATACAAAAGGAAAAGAAATGCTAGAAAAGGAATTAATAACAAGAAGAAATTTAAAGTTCAATTTTTTTTTTTAATTTGGGATTTTAAAAAGCATGAATATTTACAACCCCCCCCCCAAAAAAAACAAAAGAACCTAACCCTGTCAAAGCACTTAATAATACCATAAACAATTTTAAGCAATTTTATTTAAGCATGATTATTTACAAAATAGCAATGAAAATTACGGAAAGTCTACCCATTAAAATTTATTTTATTATTCAAACAAGAATTCATTATTATTACAGCTTCACTATAAAAACAACACTTGTCATTGCTTTTCTAAATAACTTAAACAATTTTTTAAAAAATCAATAAAAGCTTCACTTTCAAAAGATAAAGACCCCTTTTGGTTTTGGACAATAATTGAGACGAGTAAGAAGATGAAGATCAGTAAAAAGGCCGTTAACTAAGTAAGCTTCCGCGACTACTTGAGGCAATCGTATATCAACTACGCCACTAATGATGGATGAACCCGACGCGAATGAGTCCGAAGAATTAATGCTGATAACACTAAAACGGTAGATTTCCGCAAACTTTTACTGTTATTTTTTAAATAATGGAAATTTTCAGGAAATTTTAATTACAATTAGTGTTCGGGGCTTAAACCGCAAATTAACCTAAAATATTAATGAAAATTATATCATAAAATAAATGGGGTTTTATCATTTAGCATGAATGCATCTTTTTCTCTCTGGGTTTTATATAGCCTTGGTTGGCGACGAGTCTAGGAGAAGGAAAAGTCTGAATTCAATCCATCATGGATAGGTTTGAGTCCCGTCAGGGTATTTTCATCTAGACACATCACTGCTACTGCGGCTGCTCTACATGTGGTCCTTTTACAAGACTTGTTTGATTGTTATAAACCTTAGCAAATCGCAGGAAACGAATCAGATCAATCTATACAACGAATTTAATAAAGTTGGTCTTCTTTAATAGTATAATTTGAAAATCAAATGAACATCATAATTTTTTAATATTATAATATGCTGCATGTGAAATGAACAATAACCCCAATCTTTTTAGCCTGTCGAACGACATTAATGTTTAAAATTTCGCTATTACAAAGGTAAATGTCGTAAACAAATGACTTTCTGGTGATCACTTACATGTGCCACACCTCAGCTTTCTTTAATGTCATTGGTTCATAAATATATGATACTTATTATATGACAATTTTGCCATCGCACGTAATTTGAATTTTTCTCTAAAATCACGGACCTATCGTGTATTTTAGTATCTTTCTATATTTTTGGCGCCAAGCTTACTGGAGCCTATGCGTATCTATAAAAACCCTCTCGCTGTTAGCCAACAGCCAGTAGCAGTTCAATTCTTGGAAAATAAGGCACGGCGCTATATTGATATTTAAATTCTTAATTATTACTCATTCGAGTAATCATACTAATTCTTATTGATATCACTCATGAACATTACATCTTTCTACACTGATAAAACACTGTGGAACTATTCTTTATTTAGCTAAGATCTCAATTGAACTTTGTAGTTAAATAATCTTCAATATTGTACTCAACATTAATTAGCTAAACTTACACTTTTTATTACGGAAAAAGGGAAGCAACTTTCTTTATACTATTGTTGATATTTGTATATCATTGTTAATACAATATTTTATTAATGTTCACTGAGCTTGATTATTTTTCTCTCGTGTATGTTGTGCATGATCCATGTGAGGTGTTGTTTTACAAGAACACAGCCTTCCTTCTTTATTATATTCACGGTGACCCTAGCCAACAATACTTATAGCACTACTACATTTGGTCACCTCGACGTACCTACTACAACATTATAACGTAGAAGAATGTACGAACGGAACTTGTTCCGGGTAACGCCGGTTATCCTTTTTGGTTATAATATAAATACGCCAATGAGAAAGTGAACAGATATTGAAGTTAACAACCGTAGTTGGCGCCTTTTAAATGAGTCATAACCCGAATAATATTTTCGGAGTATTTTTTAAAAAAGTACTATATTCGATATACCGTAATATGGTAATATTTTAATTCCGAAGAAATGACTAAGATATTATTGAAATATTTTCACAAGAGTAAATTCTTTTGAAGGAGATCCGTAACTTCGTTAAGTCACGTGCTCTTTTCTTTGTCATAATCAAAATGGAGACTGTCACGTCTATGAGAGGCTATAAGGATCAATACGGCGTTATTCGCCAAATTCTTTGCTAGTATTATCAACCATGGCAAAAACTCGAATGTTAAGATGTCTTAGAATGAAAGAAAAATAAGTCCGACTGTATGACGAGTGGAAAAGCTGTAATGTTCTTCGAAAACTGATAATAATGGTTCATGAACACAATAGGTTAAAAGAGGCATCGATCCGTATGTATGAAATGGAAAGCGAAACAAGAAGCTTGGAAGAAATTGCGATATGTCAATGAAATGTCTTTGATATTCAATGAATTCTCTTAAATGGGGAGAAAAGGTATAATGATCATACAAGTCGTGTATGGCTTTCTGTCTACGTCAGTAAACGTCGAATTCTTTTATCTTGAGTTTGGAAAGGAGTTTTTTAAAAAGTTTTTGTGATTTTTTTCACCAAATAGCGGCACTGTGTATTAGAGAATATGATAGAAAAATAACACTATTAAGGTGAGAGAAAAATAAAAGAACAAGAATTATGAAGACAGAAGATAAAGATTAACATTGTATTTAAATTTCTGTAGATCAAAGTTGACTGGGAAGCTAGAAAGAGAATTCCAAAAGCGAGAAGTGAGAAAGAAGAAAGAACGTACGATTATATCTCGCCATTTCAACTGTAAAATGATGAGACCTTGCTGCCAATCTTGTACTGCGCTTAAATTAAAAAAAAAACATTCTAGGTACCATAGAGGAAAGTTCACCAGAACAATTATTGCGAAAGTATTTATAGACAAGATACCGGGAAGCTACATTACTACATTGGGAAAGGGATTGAAGCCGAGAGGCCAAGTCAGGACCAATAACATTGCAGATTCTTCTTTAGGTTTTATCAAAGATCTCTAAATATATAGCAGGAGAACCAGTCCATATGTGGCGACAATATTCTAAGCAAGGACGAATGGTAGATTTATGGAAGATAGATTCTTGTGAGAAAAATTGTCTAGGACGACACAGTGAATCAATTTTCCTAGCAGCGGACCTAGCAATCGATTCAATATAATCTTTTCACTTCATGTCAACGGAAAATGTTGGTCTGAGAAGGTGCAATGAGTCACTCTCCTGGTGGCTAGCATCAGCCATATGCTGATGGAAGGCAGGAAGGGTTCTCTGAAACGATTAAAAGAGGGTGGTTACGTTTTGGAGGCGTTAAAATTAACAAGCTATTCTTTGCCGCAGTTAACAACAGGATGTAGTTGTGAAATAGCATTTCCTAAAGAAATAGCCAACTCATAAACATTTTCGGCCTTAATCGAATTACGTACGAAGAAAAGCAAGTTAATTTTGATCTGATTTTATTTCCAATTTTATTTAACCCAAGAACACTGACCATCAATTAAAGTTATACCACTACTAACCATGGGTATGTCATCGCCGATTTTGAAAATATCAAAAAAAAAAAAAAAATATATAAATCTTTATTTGAAATATTTTACATGCAGGCACTTCAAACTTAGTACGTTGAGTTAACATTAATAGGAACTGAAAAACATTATTCAGATAAGAAAATGAGGTACTGAAAATGGAAAGTAAAAAGAGGAAAATTTGCGCTGGGTACTATGTACTCATGGTTAGTGTTCTAGGGTTAAGCGTTTGGGTTTCTTAATTAAAAATAGTTTAAATGACAGAAGTCGAAATTTTTGTTAGACGCAAACAAGTTTGAAAAAAGACGACCATTACAAACTTAAATTTAAAAGAAATTGCTACTGATTCAAGGTGTCTCCTTTTTCAGATCGGATGCCGCAGTTTTGGAATGAAAAAACTATTTTACAAAAGAAAGTTTAAACTTCTTTGGGTAAAGAAAATAGAGCAAAAAGAAAGTAAAACAATAAAAAATTCTTTCAAAATCTGTAAGCAAAGACAGCGTATCTATTTGATTGTAGCAATTATATGCCAAACGACACAAATAAATCACAACGTGTAATTTTGGTGAAGTGTCTGCTTTGCTTAAGCGGAAAGGAGCTGATTGTGTCTAAACCAACTCTGACCCAGAGTGATTGTCTGATAAACATTTCTTGCCAGTACTTTGTGAATATTTAGAAATGTAATTACAAATATCTTGATAAGTTTTCTTTCATCTATTTTTCTTAGAATTTTTTTTGGTTGATCGATTCAATTACAAGACAGTCACTTATTTCAAATAACATTGTTATTCACCAATAGCGCTACCAAAATTAGTTCATGGGGAGATAATACAGTGTACTACTATCTATCTATCTATCTATCTATCTATCTATCTATCTATCTCAATCTGTTTCAATCTATCTATCTATCTATCTATCTATCTATCTATCTATCTATCTATCTATCTATCTATCTCTATCTATCTATCTATTCTATCTATCTCTATCCCATCTATCTATCTATCTATCTATCTATCTATCTATCTATCTATCTATCCCTATCTGTTTCAATCTATCTATCTATCTATCTATCTATCTATCTATCTATCTATCTATCTATCTATCTATCTATCTCAATCTGTTTCAATCTATCTATCTATCTATCTATCTATCTATCTATCTATCCCAATCTGTTTCAATCTATCTATCTATCTATCTATCTATCTATCTATCTATCTATCTATCTATCTATCTATCTTGTTTCCCAGTTTGTTTCTATCTATCTATCTATCTATCTATCTATCTATCTATCTATCTCAGTCTGTTCATTTTATATCTATTTCATTCTGTTCATTTATATCTCTGTATCTCTCCCTGTTAATTTCTACGTATTTATCTTTTTAAACACATCCATTCACATAGCATTATACGTATGTGGCGACAGTGTTACCAATATTTAACTAGGAAAGGTGGGATTAAGGACAATGCGTGGACACAATGCAATTTATACGAGGGTCATTCAATAAATAAGGTGAATCTTTCGGTATAAGGACTTCTAATACAGATAGAAGCTTACTTTTTTTTTTACTTCTTTTTCACATGGATTTAATTTCTTTTGTAGATTAAAAAAACTTTGAGAGTTTTGGCGATTAACAAAGATGGCCGACCAAGAAGCATGCTCCAGGATTGAACAGCGGTCAGTTATCAAGTTTTTGGTTGCTGAAGGGTGCAAACCAGTTGAAATTCATAGGAGAATGTCAACTGTGTATGGTGCCACATGTTTCAGCCAAAAAATGTCTACAAGTTGTTTAAAGAAGGACGGAGCAGTGTTGAAGATGAAGACAGGCCTGGGAGGCCTAAAGAAGTGAGGTCTCCTGAGGTGATCGAATCAGTCAATGACCTCATTCAGTCTGACAGAAGAACTACTGTGAACTGCTGAGGCAGGTCAAGAAAGACATAAAGAACAAACGCAGGGGTCATCAGTCAGAAGGTATCATTTTGCATCATGACAACGCAAGGCCTCACACAGCAGCCCAAACGGTGCAGACCATCAACGAGCAGGGCTGGGAACTGCTCCCTCATCCCCCTTACAGCCCAGACCTTGCCCCTTCAGACTTTCACCTGTTTGGTCCCTTGAAAGCGTTCATAAGAGGCACGAAGTTTAAAAGTGACGATGAAGTCAAAAGTGTTGTGAGAGACTGGCTGAGACATCAGTCCAAAGATTTTTACGCTGAGGGAATACGGAAGCTTATGCACAGATGGGAAAAGTGTGTGACAGTGCTGGGAGACTACGTTAAAAATATAAAAAGAAGTTTCTATCTGTATTAGAAGTCCTTATACCGAAAAATTCACCTTATTTATTGAATGACCCTCGTATTTGACGTAAATAGCACATAGTATAACATACAAAACAACGGTTTGATTTCAAAACATAACAATTGAATTTATTAGTGTTTGGTGTAAAAGCATAAGAGCTGAAGGTGTGATAGAGTTATGTCTCTTAGATTTGGAAATATTTGTATTTGAACTTATAAAGTGAAAGTAATTATTAAACTGTAGTTTAGAAGAATAAAGTTTCTTTAGCATGCTTGGAATTGTGTATTGTACAAGTTGGTAAAAGTTCAGAAGAGATTTCAGAGTTCGTACTTGCGTGAATGTTCGTAATGGTCTTTAACGCCTGACTACATTAATTAAGACGGGAGTTCTTGATGATTACATCTTGGCAGCAAGGAATGAGACGCGCGCGCGAGAGAGAGAGAGCGAGAGAGAGAGAGAGAGAGAGAGAGAGAGAGAGAGAGAGAGAAGAGAGAGAGAGAGAATCACTCGTGTTTTTGTTTATATATGATCGTGTATCACGTGGAAGGCTCAGAACGAAAACGCGGGAAATTTTATTCCGCGCGTGCAGGATATTTGATTGGTCGGAACTGACCAATCAGCGAGCTATTTTTGAGTAGATTAACCAATGAATGCTTGTTATATACTTTGTAAGATGGTGATGGTGAAAATTACAACAGGAATAGTGCATTTCCTAGCAGGGGTTAACTGGCCTGTTGTGGAAGATTCCACACGCAAATATTTGTATCTATCTCACTCTGTTCACTTTTCTCTCTCTCTCTCTCTCTCTCTCTATCTATGTCATTCTGTTCATTTCTCTCTCTCTTACTTTGTTCATTTCTCTCTCTCTCTCTCTATTTAACTCACTCTGTTCATTTCTCTCTCTCTCTATCTATCTATCTCTCTCTGTTCATTTCTCTCTCTCACTCTCTCTCTCTATCTATCTATCTATCTATCTATCTCACTCTGTTCATTTCTTTCTCTCTCTCACTCTGTTCATTTCTCTCTCTCTCTATATATATCTATATATATATATTATTCTGTCATTTTTCTCTCTCTCCGTATCTCAGTCTGTTCCTTTCTCTCTATTTCCTTGTCTCTCTCTGTTTTTCTTTCTTTGTTTAACCACATTCATTCATTTTGTATTATGCGCACATATTTATATCATCGTACACACACACACACACACACACACACACACACACACACACACACACACACACACACACATATATATATATATAGCCCTGCAAATAATTATACAGAATTGCACAAACACACACACAACACTTATATATATATATATATATATATATATATATATATATATATATCCATGACAATGTTAAAGTTATCACTAAATATGCCGAGATACACTGAACATGCACTGCCTCCTTCTTAACTCCCTAACTCCAACATTTTTATATCGGTCATGTAATTCTAGGAAGATGATTTAAATTTGGTAATTGTATTTACATAATTAAATGAAGATAATTAAGCTAAAAACATTGGTTACATTTCAAACCTTTTCCCGACTTTTAGGAAACATAGTATATATTATCGCAACATATTTAATTATTATTAACGAATCTCTCTTATTGAAGACAGTAGCTCTACAATCGCAAATCCATTAACTATTTCATGTACATCAATATAACACTTCACATTATAAACCCTTCCTAACATGCTACTCACTTCGGCCTTTGTGAATTCACACACTTTCTGTAACGTCATGTGCAAAACTGACAGCCTTGAAACAATATTATGAATATTTTAGTAGGCATGTGTCGTTTCATTTTTCTTCAAGTTGGTCGAATCAGAAAGAATGAAACTCAAAATATTATCAGGTATTTATTTGATGGCTTTGAAGTGTTTAACATTTGTGGACGTGTGTGAGAATTAACTACGTTCCTCAATCTCAAGTACGCAACTCCTCCTCAAAAAGAAAACTCGTTTTGAATGAGCCTACCGTGCTCTCATGCACCTGACCCAACCATTGCCCAGAATCAGCCAATAAAAATGGCTGCAAGCAACATGACCACAAAGTACTTCCCGATTCACCTTCAGTCCAAAGCTCAACAATTCGCCATCTCCACACTCCATTGCAAAACATACATGCAACTCGGACCCTTTTGGGTCGCCGAGGTAAGTCTCCGCTACACTCCACCCTGATCTCCTGATCACAGCTGATGCATCCCGGGCAGGTCTCTTCTGTCGGTTACTCCTTCAAAGAGGAACAACGCGAGTCTCATTCTCAGACGAACTACTGCCTGGAGGGTCATCAGATGCTCTCATATCAGGTTCTGAACTGTTTGGTTGTAAAGGAAAGGAAGAAACAAGGGTTAATCTTCAAGATTTGATGGCTTTGAAGCGTTTAACATTTGTGGATGTGTGTAAGAATTGGTCGGAAGCAAACGCACAAAAAACTATACACAAGTTCAATAGGTCCAATAGTCAAATCAATTCCACACTTATCTCCGTTCCTCAATCTCAAGTACGCAACTCCTCCTTTTAACACAGAATCATACAAAATGACAAGGTTTAGGTTGTTTAAATATTAAAATTGGTCGTTTGTCTACTGGTCCATGTTAAATGACGAAGTCCATTTGATGTATGTAAGCAAGCCACAATCCTCTGCAATCTCCTCCTCAGCCTGATGCTGCTGCTCCGCTGACACCGGTGACTTTAACTCATTTGATCTCATTTTCCTACTACACCGCGTTATATAATAAACGGTGCTGCATCAAAAATGGTTCCTTCAATAGTTTCCGTATTTTCTGAACAGTTTCTTACACAGTAATGAGTAACGTTAAAGATCAAATAAAGTCTGTGGAAAGTTGAAATGGTGGGTAGGAAAACTTTTGAGCAAATCTTTTAAGTGCAGAGAATCTACAACAATAAAATTCGTATTCAAAATAATGACTAAACTCGGGAAACGATTGAAAAATATTATTTTTAAAAATGCATTGCAACACTTAATTTACTATAAACATTTTATAGTTATATTTTATTATAATATAAAATATATTGTAAATGATTTTCCTTTATAAACACATTAAAATCAATCAGCTATTATATGTATAATTAACCTTCAAAAATAGAAATAGAGAAAGATAGTAGATTATCTCAAATGTTATAACAAGTGTTTGGTTGTAAAGGAAAGGAAGAAACAAGGCCAAGGGTTAATTTGATTTGATGGCTTTGAAGCGTTTAACATTTGTGAACGTGTGTAAGAATTGGTCGAATGCAAACACACAAAAAGAAAAAAAAAACTATATCCAAGTCCAATAGGTTCAATAGTCAACAAATCAGTTCCACAATTATCTCCGTTCCTCAATCTCAAGTACGCAACTCCTGTTTTTAACACAGAAGCATACACAAATAAATAATATATATATATATATATATATATATATATATATATATATATATATATATATATACAAGTCCAATAGGTCCAATAATCAAATCAATTCCGCGATTATCCCCTTTCCTCAATCTCATGTACGCAACTCCTCCTCAAAAAGAAAGACTCCCTTTTGAATGAGCATATCGTGTTTTTATACACCTGACCCAGCCATTGCTCGGCTAATGAGCGCCCAAAATCATCCAATAAAATGGCTACAAGTCACATCACCACTTCCTTCGCCATGAAGTGCTTCCCGGTTCACCTTCAGTCCGAAGCTTGACAATTCGTCGTCTCCACAGTCCATTGCAAATCATGCACGTGACTCTGGCCATTTTGGGTCGCTGAGTCTCCGCTTACAAGGTATTTGGGCTAGGTTCCATTGATCTGACAGAATGAAAAAAAAAACGCAAAAACCAACCATCTTTTAAAAATGCATCATTTGACGCTAAGCCTTAAATAATCTCGTCCACATACATTAAGAATTAATTACAAATTGCTATACCTGTAACATAGGGAATAGAGAAGATCTCGTTCCCCCATAATTCTATTGAAGTTGTATTTGTTGCAGTACTTCAAATTGTTCAAAGATCTGAGATTAAATTAATTGGAAAATGTTATATAGCAATGTGTAGCTCTCCTTTTAGGTTGAATAACAGCGGTTGAAGACAATAAAATGCATTTGCGGGCAAGAAATGGTTTGCTCCCTTTTAATCGTTTCAGAGATTTTAACGGGCTTAAATTTTCCACTTCCATGAAGTGGAAAGATTATATTGAATCAATTACTAGGCCTGCTGCTAGAAAAGTTGGTTCATTGTGTTGTGTTTAAAAATCTTTTCTCATCAGAAATTATCTTACACATTTATAAGTCTACCATTTGCCCATAGATTAGCTATTGCTGTCATTTGCAGCTTATGATATTTATGTAGAAATTCTTGTTAAAATACAAAGAAAAATATGCAATAGTACTGGTTCCGACCTGGCACTTCGACTGCAATATCTTTCCCACTACCTTAACGTAGTTGATATATATATATATATATATATATATATATATATATATATATATATTTATATACTACAAAGATTGGAATCACTCGGATATATATATATATATATAATATATATATATATATGATTTCTGCAGGTACTATAATACCACAATGCTAAATTATGTCCACTTTCAAGAGAAGTCGCTACTATTTAAATTTTGAAGTCTTTGAACAGTCAGACATCAGTTTAGCTGGAATGAAATAATATATTAATAAGAAGAGTATGCATATATTTCACAGCTCTAACATCAATCCTAAATCATATGAACTTTTCATACCGTCGTATAAAAGAAACAATGCATTTATTAATAAGAAGAATTGAAATTAATGCATGCAATATTTCACATCTAACATCAATCCTTCAAATCAGCTATGAACTTTTCAACCGTCGTACCTGAAAAGAAACAATGCATTTATTAATAAGAAGAGTTGAAATTAATGCATGCAATATTTCACAGCTCTAACATCAATCCTTCAAATCAGTTTCCATGAACTTTTCAGCCCACCGTCGTACCTGAAAAGAAACAATGCATTTATTAATAAGAAGAGTTGAAATTAATGCATGCAATATTTCACAGCTCTAACATCAATCCTTCAAATCAGCTATGAACTTTTCAGCCCACAATCGTACCTGAAAAGAAACAATGCATTTATTAATAAGAAGAGTTGAAATTAATGCATGCAATATTTCACAGCTCTAACATCAATCCTTCAAATCAGCCTATGAACTTTTCAGCCCACCGTCGTACCTGAAAAGAAACAATGCATTTATTAATAAGAAGAATTGAAATTAATGCATGCAATATTTCACAGCTCTAACATCAATCCTTCAAATCAGCCTATGAAATTTTCAGCCCACCGTCGTACCTGAAAAGAAACAATGCATTTATTAATAAGAAGAGTTGAAATTAATGCATGCAATATTTCACAGCTCTAACATCAATCCTTCAAATCAGCTTATGAACTTTTCAGCCCACCGTCGTACCTGAAAAGAAACAATGCATTTATTAATAAGAAGAATTGAAATTAATGCATGCAATATTTCACAGCTCTAACATCAATCCTTCAAATCAGCCTATAAACTTTTCAGCCCACCGTCGTACCTGAAAAGAAACAATGCATTTATTAATAAGAAGAGTTGAAATTAATGCATGCAATATTTCACAGCTCTAACATCAATCCTTCAAATCAGCTTATGAACTTTTCAGCCCACCGTCGTTCCTGAAAAGAAACAATGCATTTATTAATAAGAAGAATTGAAATTAATGCATGCAATATTTCACAGCTCTAACATCAATCCTTCAAATCAGCTTATGAACTTTTCAGCCCACCGTCGTACCTGAAAAGAAACAATGCATTTATTAATAAGAAGAGTTGAAATTAATGCATGCAATATTTCACAGCTCTAACATCAATCCTTCAAATCAGCCTATGAACTTTTCAGCCCACCGTCGTACCTGAAAAGAAACAATGCATTTATTAATAAGAAGAATTGAAATTAATGCATGCAATATTTCACAGCTCTAACATCAATCCTTCAAATCAGCCTATAAACTTTTCAGCCCACCGTCGTACCTGAAAAGAAACAATGCATTTATTAATAAGAAGAGTTGAAATTAATGCATGCAATATTTCACAGCTCTAACATCAATCCTTCAAATCAGCTT